TTTACACTTCCACGTATAAATTTAAATTTGTATCTTATTAATGTTATCGTATATTATAATATTATTAATAATTAATATTAATTTTGGAATTTTTTAATATCAATTATAAATTTTCATGTATGTGTTTAACATGTTTTATGTAACGATTCTTTCTTTCATCTAATTGCAAAATGCACAAACAAAAATTATTTTTAATTAATTCAAATATATTTTTGTATCTTGATATAACAATATACGATTTATTCTGCATATATTTTCCAATAATATATTATTGTCATTGCTTGGTGTTTAATGGTATTTAATAATTAAAATGCCTAATGGATTTATATTAAGATTATTAAAACATAATATTTTCAAGTCGGGTCGAGGTCGAAATTGTTCGGGTTAGATCGGATCGAATCGGGCTTCTCCGAAGTATCTCACGACGCATAAATGAGATTTCGAGAGATCCGAATCATATATCAAGCCGAATTTTGTTGAATTCAATCATAAATTTGAAGTGTTTAGAAATTAAGTGAAAGTTAAATAAAGAGATCTTGAAAATTCCGATATTCATGTATCTTAAGTTTTGATATTTTCGAGAATCCGATTCGATCCAAATTGAACCGAACAATTCTGATTCGAGTACTGAGTATTCGCCTATTCGAAACTTTTTCATATTGACAATTTATTTACTAATTCTGTAGCAATTTCACTTAAGTATTACGATTTAGATTTCAATTATTAACATACATAGTTAATTTTTGATATATCGTATATAAATTGTTTGAAATTACTTCAATCAGGAACTTACAGTTAACCTCTCTTATTTTTAAAATCTATTATGAATATATAAATATATAGAATATAATTAGAATATAAGAATTGTAAATTTAATTCTATTTTTATTATTGTGATAAGTGTCTGTTTACATTATTGCGAATAGAGATAATGTATAATTTAGATTGATGAAATTCGGTAAGTAATATATTATTATAATTTGGATAATAAAGATTCTGCTATAATATTATATATTTTTACTAAAATTATTTTCTTCAAATAGATATTACTTGTAAAATGACTTAATACGATGAAATCCTAATCATTTAGAAAGATTTAGAATACTTATCTATATAATTACCTTATATAATTATTTTAATATGACTATTATATATTAAAACCGTAAAATTTATTCAGTGATGATTAGAATGCAAGGAGACAAGCAACGGTTGAATATATAAGCAGACAAGGGTTAGAATGACGGATTTCGTTAAATAATTAATTCGTTAAATGATTAATCACCATCCGACCAGCCAAACCGTCTGACTTAACCTGTCTAATTCCATTATGAATTATTCATCGCGTCGATATAACTTTCGAGTTAACTTCGATCGTAACGGAAAACGCTCCATGTGCCCTATAAAATAACGTTTCCACGCTTTTCTGGGAAATTTACATGTTAAAATTGGAATCTGTTACATTTACTCGATTAAATTTACTCGAAGGTTAGCAAAAATCAATTTACAATTTACAATCTGGTATCATGTAATCATGTTTGGGATGATTTCTTTTCCAGAGATGATCGATTTTTCTCGATAAACTCATTTTCTATTGAGAAAAAAAAAGGTGATACGTTCTGTACGATTTCTCACGAGTCCAATTTATTTTTCCTATTTAGCGCCATCCGATGGAAATTTGTTCTGAGGAAAACGCAATTACAGATTGTAAATAGATCCTTGACATTGTGAAATATTTTGACATGGAAGGTTCTTTGAAAACATTTTAATTTGAAGAAAATCAGAAATAATATTTAATAATTATTTTATACATAATAAAATGTATAATAGGTAATTAATTTTTTTGTAATATTTCATTGCCAATTTATTAAATATTCAAGATTAAATTGTACTTTTTATTTGTGATAAAAATAAGAAAAAAAAAATAATTATTTAGAATAAAATAAAAAATAAATTTATTTGAAATAATAATATTTACAAATTCTAAAATCTTATTTGAGAAACAAATTATTTTTCAAATGATTAAATACTTTATTTCAAATAATTTTTTTAAATTTTTTTCTAATATTTTTGCATATTTAATTTTTTATGACAATTTAACTTTACTAATATATCTTTAAAGAAAGATATATGAAATGTACATGGTAAATAATATTTAATATTAAGAGAGATTGGAAACTGCGATTAATTAAAATTTGTAAATTATTTCAGAAATTATTAATAAATAATAAAAAAAAATTTATATGTAATATAATTTGTATGTTAAAATAATATAAAGAATTATAAAAATATATATTGTTTTTTAGATATTATATTAATTTTAAAAAGGAATTATTGTAATCTACTAAACTAAACTAACTAAAAAAATTGTTCATAAATTTGAAAATATTAATATAATTTTTATAATTATTAGGATGTTTATTATAATTTTATTATAATATCTTTTATTATAATAATAATTTTTTTATGTTTATTTAATACATCTTTTTATCATTTAGTACTATAAGTTATGAATCATTCTTTTTTATTATTCTATATATGTACACATTCTCAAGAAAGATTGAATAGATTTTTAAATGAATATATGATAATTCGAAAAATTGGAAATCAATCGAAAATTTTGTTTACTTCTTACTTTAGACACAAACCACTAGTGACCACCCTGATACCGACGAGAATACATTGAGCCATGGCCTACCATATACGCTAAACCGAGAGAATCAAAGCTTTAACTCTCTCGTTATTAGTGATGGCTTCGATCATTTTATTTTTGCTCATTCTGTAAGTATTAACATTATGCGCCAAATAAATAAGAAACAACTAATTGTAAGTTAATTTTATGTATCTCTAGCGAGATATTTCTAAATTATTCAAATCTACATTATCAAATGCAAAAAAAATTTGTTTCGTAACTTTTATGTATTACTTATTATAAAGTCAAATAATAACAATGAATCGGCAAATGAGCGAAAATATTTAAAATGATTCGGTAAATTAAATTATATAAGAACTAAATGTATGAACACATATATAATAAAGTATTAAATACATAATATTCAAATTTAAAGTATTTCAAAATATAATTTATAAAAAAACAATAAAAAAGTTTTAAACATTAAATTCTTATATATAATTGTTAACGAATAAATTATATTCGACATTAATTTATTTGCATCATTAATTTATTTACATCATTAATTTATTTGAATATTCTTGATCGTTAATCAACATTTCATTATTTACAAATCTGTTTACAAATTTGTTTACGTAGAATTAACAATTTGATTAATAATCATTTTATAATAATCACTTTACTTATAATAGAATAAATCAATTTGTATATAATATGTATTAAATTTTATGTACCATTTTATATAACATTTTTAAAAATTCTATTTCTGTAACATATGAATGAATTTTTATATAATTTTCTTTTAATATATTTGTTAATAATATATTAACTCTAAAAATATATCAATTCAAAAATTAATTATCATAATATATAATAAAAATTAAAAAATAAATTTAAATCGTTTTCATTAACAATGTCATTATATTATTTTAATAACAAAAGTTATTAAAATATTCACATAAATAAATATAAATATTCACATAATCAATTTTTAAATTCATCATTTGCAAAAATAAGTTCTATCTTTCATCCAATCAAAATATTCAAAGCGATTTGTTCATTCCATGACATGTTCGAAGGGACTCGAATCTTTTGCTACGCACCACCGATTCACCCACTATCGAGGAAAGGGTGCCTGCAGGGGTGGTGACGGGTTTGGAGGTGCGCGCGCAGCTTACCCCCTCTGTCGGCCCCCGTGTAACACGTAATCGAACTGGGAGCGCCGCGGTTCGTTGTCAGCTCCGTCATCCGCGAACGAAGGGCCGAATCGTTGATGAAACGACTAAACGAAATATCTTTAATAAATCGGCAAGTCTCTCAAAACGAACGTATAACCGTGTCCAAGTGAAATATCGTTCGAATTCGTCCAATTGTAGTTCCCATCGAACCTTCATCGCTCGTTGAATCAAAAAAGGAATCTCGCTTTGGTTGCTGCCGGATATAGTGACATATCGGTGGTGGTGCATGAGTGCGCGTTGGGTGGAGGTACTTGCGGAGTGAAGGGAGTCTCGTACTTTTCTCTCATGGTGGTTGAACGTCAATTATACTCAAGAAAGAACGTCTTGCATTATAAAGGACAATCTCGAAACGAAAGTGGTCGAAATATCCGTATCATTTGGATTTTAACGTGATTAACAAACGCATCCAATCTTTCTGAACGAACAAACAACAAAGAGTTGATTGATAAACGTTTTGCGAAATCGAGAGAGCGGATCGTGGAACAGTGCACTCGTGAGGAGTCGACCTAAGTGTAATTCGTAGTGGTTCGATGGAGTTGCAATGGCGCCGAGCGCGACTCCGTCGAGGAGTGACTTGGTTTCGAGTAGAGTAGCCGGTGGTGGTCGAGCGACAGCGAGCTATTCACGTGAGCCTACCCCATGTTACTAGAACCGCCACCTCGTGATCGAACTGCCGATACTATTCCTCCGTACGAATTCTCTTTCTTGTTTCTTGGTGAATCGGCCGCCCATCATGAAAAGGATCCGCAAGAGGCAGCCGCAGAAGATCAGGGGCCGGTCGCGCGAGTGACAGTGCGTGCATGTGCGACAATCGTGTGGTGGTGGCAAATTTTCAGGTGATTTCTCGATTTCTCGATATATATCGAGATCGATCGTGCCCCTTATTCTCGTCGAAGGGACAATTATTCCCTTCGACGATCCGTTCACGACAGCGATCACGACAGCGATCACGCCACCGATCGCGCCATGCCGTGGATAACGCGATACAACGCGATACGACGCTTCGTCACAGATTGATCGTGACGAAAATTAAGGACAAAAGAGAGAGAGAGAGAGAAAAGAGAGAAAAGAGTGGACAAAAAGAAGAAGCGGAAGGGAAAGCTGGTGGAAAAAGAAAAAGGAAGTGGTGGAGAAGGAGAAAGAGCAGGAAATAAAAAAGGAAAGGAAAGGAGCAAGAGACCGATACGCTGGCTGGGTGGGTGGGTGGGTGGCGGAAGAGGAAGTTTGGAGGAAGTTTCTTGTCGGCAAACCTGTTTTTCTAGGATAATCTAGCCAACCTGGCGGACCAGGAGGAAAGTGGCTCGACGATGCAGGGCAAGGAGAGCCCCGTCGGGTCCAACACCCAGGAGACCCATCAATATGTTGGTCCTTATCGACTGGAAAAGACCTTGGGAAAAGGGCAGACCGGTAAGTGCAACAGATCTTTCACTCTCTTGTACGCCTCCTATGTATCTATAAACGACTATACAGCGTTAACGATAAATCGTTTGGAAGATTCGCCACGACACAAGGTCTGAACGGTGTTGCAGCGTTATTCGTTCGGAATGAACAAAAGACAATAAAGGACGAATAAAAAAAGTACCAACACGTTGTGATATTCTTGTCGTTTTTTCATACCGCTTCGTGTCTTTAGATGAGTTTAAATATTCAGTAAACTTTTTTATCGAATTGTAATATCTCGATAGTCTCGAAATTCTCGAAATTCTCGAAATTCGAAACTTTCGATATAAAATGATTATTTTTTTTAAATGTTATTTATTTTCTTAAAAACTAAAATTTAAGAAATTTTAATTTCTAAAATTTTTTGAATTAAATAGTAACAATAATCGTTTTAGCTTGCAAAAAAATTATATATAATATAAACTATTATAAAATAATGAATAAATAAAATAATGACAATCACAAAATAAATAAATAAATAAATAAATAGTAAAATAAAACTAAAATCTAAATTTAATTGAATTTATATTCTTACTTTAATCGTTTTATTCTTATTTTTAACCAAAAATATTTATTATCAATTAATATATCAATTAATTAATATTAATAAAAAATTTTACTCATTACTTTAACAATCTAAATAGAATTCCGATATATTACAAATTTTGATAAATCATTATAATAATATAATTAAAAAAAAACAAAATAAAATATAAAATATAACATAAATAAAAAATAACATAAATATATATGTGTAAATAATAATCATAAAATATAAATAAATATAATAATTATTATATATATAATTATTAAAATAAATATAATAATTATAATATAAATTATAATTAATATTACGGATTATCAAGTATGTCAGATTATTAAAATTTAATTAAAATTTTTTTTCTATTATAAGAGAATATCTAACATCTTCGATTCGCCTTTTTTTTATGTATTTTTATTTTTTTTTTTTTTTAGAATATCACATATACATATAATAATTATTTATAAAAAAACTATATTGTTCTATTTATATTATATCCAATGTATCCAATTTAATAATTTATAAAAATTTATATTTTTTATATAAAATAGAATTAATTATTGAAATCAAAATTTTTAAAATATCAGTATTAGACTTCAATTTTAGTGATTATAGTTATATTTAGTTATTATAAAATATTATTTTATAATAATTTGAATTATTAAAAAAATTAAGAATAAAAAAATAATTCAATATATCACATTAAAGAGAAAATTAAAAATTTTAAATTAATTAATTACTCAGAAATAAAAATTTGCATATTTTGTGGCATGAAAAAGATATTTTTATTTTTTTAAGATAATAAATATTACATTTGACGAATTTCAGATAAGTTTCAAATTTTCTAATAAAAAAACGATTTTGATCTGATAATTGATTTGAAATGATCTAAATGGAGAATAAAGTAAAATCAAGTTAAGAAAAAATAGAATAAAATGGAAAAATCTTTGATTAAAATAGAAAATAGAAAAAGATTATTAATTTTCCCTTCTTGTGAATCAGTTTGATATGCAAATAACGATTAAACTAAAATAAGTATTAATATGTAATTATTGAACGATTGAAATAATTATAATGATTGAATTACAAGTCATAATACACAATTCATCAAGTAACATATTGTATGCAAGTCTTTAAATTCTAATTTTGAACAATTTAACAAAAAAATTCTAAATTAATTCTACACTTAATATTACAATATGTCTAAAAAATAAAAAAAATTATTCTTTTACACTTTCCTGGAAATTTTATCTATCAATCATTCATGAAATTTTATAGGTTATGTAAAAATATTTTTCATAATTTTTCATTATCTATAATAGTTAATACAGTATATTTAGTATGTTTTAACATGAAACTATAATAAAACAACGATACTTTTCCAACATATATGCTTGAATTGTAGTTATATTTAAATTTTAATAACCAAAACTTATTTGCTCGTTCATTATATTCATATAATTTACTTTCTTATGATTATTTATAATAATAAAAAAGGAAATAAAAGAAAAAAATGAAAAAGGAAATTATTATAATAATATATACAATTGTAATAAGAATGCTTAAAGCAATTACAATAATAAAACTTTCCAAAAATTTATTTTTTGTTTTAAAATCCATACAATGTACAATGACATCAAACAAAGATACATATTGAATAATAAAATAAAAGAACTTTATAAATATCATAATATGCATATTATATTACACCAATTTTTAACTAAAAATATTCTTATATTTATTCTTATATATTCATATATTCTTATATTGTATAACATTCTTTCCTTAAAAGATATTTCACTATATTTAAATAAAACAGATATCTTATATATCATCAATGTCTATTATAGTCAAAAAAATAAAGAAAATTATTTAAAGATTTACCAATAATCATTCAATTATTTTTTTGATTAATATTAAAACATTATTTTGATTAATATTAAAACATTAATTTTATAATTCTATATATATATAATATATTTTTCTAATTTAGCTGCAAAATTGCTGCAAGATTGCTCTTCAATTTTTACTGTATCGTTACGTTTTGTTCGATCGCCAATAAAATCTCTGATCTGCAAAACCTCGAGTATATCTATATTTCAACACGATTGTGTTCGATACCAGCATGAGGGCGCTGCATACGCCACGTAGAATTTCATTGCGCGATTGAAAGACGGCGTAAAACTGGAAAAAAAAAAAAGAAAGTCAAGAGCTATATGTCCCCTTTCCACAGTCTGCCACGACCGCTTTTATAGCGTCGTCCTTTAACGTGTTGTTCCATATATCCCCAAAGCGGTCAGAAACGCGAAGAAAATGCATCTTCCCCGAGGAGAAAGAATGCGCTTTTCATTCACCGCGTATACAGTTTTCTTTGCTGCAAGCTTGTGACTGTTCCCGTGAACTCGGCCACGGCAAACAAAGCTTGATGAAACAATTGTCGACTTGTACTACGCGATAAACGAGTTGACCGATTAACACGTTTGTTACTATAGATCTTTAGTCATCATTAATCAACCATAGATGTCGCTAGTGTTTTTTGTTTTCGTAATATAGAGATAGATTTAAATAGTTTATTTTAAATAATAATTTATTTTAAATAAGTTTATTTTAAGTAATTAGTCCTTTGAATATTGTGATTCATCATCATTTAAGATAATGCATAAATTTTTTTGTAGTTATTATTATATTCAAACATTATTATATTAAGCTTTCATTTTTATTTTATTTCTTATATTTTTATTATATTATACATTACAAAATATTATTTGATATATATACATTAAATGAAATTTTTATATTATAATTTTCATAATATATATTTTCACTGTGTAATGACTTTGACGATATACAATATATTATAATATATTATAATATATATTATAATATATTAGACAATAATTAAGATTGAGGAAAATTTAAATTAATTTGAAATCAAATATTATAAAACAGAAGTATTTTCACAAATATTTTCATAAGCAAATATTTTAAAATTACTATTTCATTTAATAATTGAATTTAATATAATTTTAAAATATTATTATAATTAATTTTGGCCATATAAATCATTTTAAAATCAATATTTTTATTATAGCAAATTTATTATTTACAAATATTAAAGAATTTTAATTTGAAATTGCTTGTGCATGCCTTTATTCTTCAATCTATAAAGCGCTTTTTAGTTTTTATTATTTATTTTTATTAATACTCCTAGAAGATCTTTTTTTTTTATTTTTTAATTTGCAATAAGCCATAAATCGTATTAAATCTTTATATTATAAAGTTGATATGAGATATATCGCATATATTTAATTTTATGCTTATGTTAAATATTATTTTAAAATGCTATTTCGTTAATATTTGAATTGCAAATTAATTTTATCGGAAATAGCATTCTAGAATAATATTTATTATTTATTAGATTTAAAAATAGAAAATAATGAAAAAAAATATAAAGATATAAATTTTAATATAAAAATTTTAATATAAAAATTAAAAATATTATATTGAGTTCATATACATATATGTAGATTATACATTTTGTATATTTTTTTATATAATATAATATAACATTCAGTAATACATAAATAGTATGACTTTAATATATATATCATATTATAAAAAGACAAGATTAGAAAATGTTTATTTAAAATATTATTTTTTTATATTTCAATAAAATTATTTATTTCAAAAATTTTTTTTCTAGTCTAAATAATACCAATTATTTATAATAATAATAAATAAAATATAATAATGAAATAATATATTTCAATTAATATTTATATAATATTTGCATTATTTAATATTTATTAAATTATTTATTATTTAATATTATGTAATATTTGTTTATATTGTTTTTTGCTATATTTATAGTCAAGATATGTGATTATTTGGTATCTCGAAATAACATTCAATATAAATATTGAATAATAAATATGATGATAATTATAGTAAGCATATAATAATTAAGAAATAATAATAATATAAATATTAATAAAATTATTAAGAAATAATAATAATATAAATATTTAATGTTGCAATATCAAATTGATATTTTTATCAAATCAAATAATAAATTACAACAGCAAATAAATAATTTATTTTATGAAATATATATTTGTAATAAATAAAATATTTAAATATAAATATATATTTACATTAATTTAATTTTCGTATGAATTATTTTATAAAATATTATTCAAGAAATAAACTATTTTTTGGAATAACTTTAATATAATTTTAAAATACTGTAATTTGAAAGTTTCTCAAAACGAGTTTATGGATTTAATATGTATTACAGGCTTAACAGATTAAAATTCCAGAAAATATTTATTTTATATTTATTAATATTTTTATTAATAAAAAATATGGATATTGACTAAGATACATTTGAAATATTGTTTTAAATAATTTGAAATAGTATTTCAAA